CAGTTCAACTTCAAAAAATTCAAATTTTTAAGAAGAAATTATGAAAAGTTGTAATGAGCCGGGTCAATTTTATTGATACAAATCAGCAACATTTGCATGTTTTTTGTTGCTTAGCTCGCTCGGATCGCCGAATAGGGGTAGAAGTTTTCCTCTTTCGTGATCGTGGGGCTGGCGGGGATGACGGTGGGGGTGGCAGAATTGGTAGAATTGGCGAGAGCGGTGGAGATTGTGGTGAGACAGGCCGAGTTGGTGGCGGCGACGACGGAGAGGGCGGTGGAGGTTGCAGAGCCGGTGGAATTGGCGAGAGTGGTGGAGTTTGAGGCGAGAGTGGCCGTGTTGGCGGCGGCGAAGACGGAGAAGGCGGTGGGGGTGGTAGAATTGGCGAGAGTGGAGGAGATTGTGGCGAGAGTGCCACCAAAGGTGGATGAGGTCGAGAAGCAAGCCGAGGACGAAAGATTTCAATGATGTTATCATTGTTTGCAACTTGCGTGCGAGAACGCACAAAGTCAAGCACTCCATCAAGAGTACTATCACGAAAAAGGTATTTATTTTCTTCTATATCGAAAATAAGCATGCCTGCTACATGTTTGCGTTTCATAAACTCTCCCAGCGCTGTCTCGAGATCAGAGCCAAGTCGTTGGCAAGATTCTATTGCCGACACCCACAAGGCCAGCGCTCTCCCCGAATTTCCTCCGCTTTCGAAGTAGGGGAACAAGTGCCCCGAAAATGTACCAGCGGGGTGTATAAAGAAAGTTTGCCCTAAGCTGGCTGAAAATGCGTCCGCTATATGGCGAACAAAAGAAAGAGAAGCAGTCCTATTATTGTCAAGCGGGTTATGATACGTTCCCATTCCGTTGTCGCGATTTAAGACTAATAATGCATATTCATCGTGGTCAGAGTCTACAAAATCTACTTCTTGGACGAGGTGCCAATGGAGGAATTCCTCCCGAAAACGGATTAGGACCACAATGATGCGTATCGCATCATTATTGCGAACTTGAATTAGCAAGGAAGGGTCTACACGCATGCGAGAATTATCATTAATGATTACCGCTTTGGAGCCCCATGTTGCAAAAAGACAAAAATGCGGTGGGAGTTTCCGCGTCCCGGCGAAAAAGTCTAACTGGACCCAGTGAAGGTCGAGCCCATCATTGTCTTTGTAGTTCCTATACCATGACGCACTGGTCCGGTACCGTGGGGGGGTTTCCCTCAGCACTAGGCTAATCGATGGAAAACGACGCTGGTAGTGGAAGTCCAACCCACGCCGAATGTTTCGCCCGATGGAGAACCCGTCGGCGCCCTCCAAGATGCCCGCGTTCATGACCGCCTCAAAGAACTGATAATAAAATAATAATAATACGTATGTTATGTATTACATAACTAAAACTCTTAGAATGATACTGATTAATGATTAGTAATTTAAGAGGCTTACAGTCGGTTTGGTACAAGGATTGATCATCCTCGTCACGGTGTTAGACAGACTTGTCATCTGCATCCGTGCAGATGACATGGCTTTGTGGACGATTTGGAGCCTGGGACTCAAAGCTTCCTGTTTTCGCAGTTTCTTCGCCAATTGCATGACATCATCCACTTCAATACGCATGCGCTCGAGAGCGCAAAAGAATTTTGCAGCTTTAAAAAATAAGGAGTAGTCCATGGCGTGGGTATTGCCAAGCGAGGGTGATGAGAACATGTTTATAAGTTTTCGCGAACTTTTAACAACTGAAACTGTAGTTTGAGTAACAAGTTTGATTTGATGACGAGACTTGATAAGTAAGAAGCAAAATCGCAACTGAAAGAAATAATCAGTTGGAAGGAGAAAGGAAGACAGGAAACAAGAGGGAAAAGAAAATGCACTCTTTTACAAGAAAGGATCTATTTTTGAGTATCATGGTGAGAAGCAATAAAAAAGACTTTTCGAGGAAGCAGAAAAGGATTGATTTATTTGAAGGTTTACTCAATAATTTAACAAGAGAGTGACACAGACAGCAGGGTCAAACTTTTGTCAATTGTATTTCTTCCAAGAAACGAGATGAAAAAAAGGTTTGAGCATAGTTATTTTCATCAAACGTTTCCCACGAATGACAAGAAAAGGATCTGGTTGAAACTGACCAGAATTTTCATCTAGATTAGAGAATGCACCTAAAACAAGAAAACGTTCTTCCAAGAAAATGGAAAAATGACCAGTATTTTTATAAATATGAGAAATGCGGTTAAAAATAAACGTTCGCTTGCAGGAAATGAGTTGAAAATGTCCAGTAATTCTTAAATGAAACGTTTCCTCAGAATAAAAGTAGCAAAGAGGAGGAAAATAAGTTAGTAGAAAGAGTAACATCGTGCAAACCTGTGGCAAAATGAGAATTTCTGATTTTATAGTTCCAGTGGCTACTGGTTATCATTGCTTATTATGTAGCGATGCAAATTCTAATTCACTTCGTATCATCAAATATCATATAAAAAATAAACATGTTCAACAATGTGACAACTGCCAAAAAGAAGTTATTCAGCCTCATATCTGTGATAAAATCTGTGCCTTGTGTATGCAAATACATAGTAATTTGTGTGGTATCTGCTCCGATAATCATTGCCCAAGTGTGTGCCAACTTGTCGGTGAATTAATAAGTAATGAAAAATGCGATTACTGCCAGGAAAGTCATGATATTAGTTCATGTTCCAAAGTTGGTGAAGTTATGGACGTAGATTATTCCCAAAAAGACGATCAAATTGCCGGAACCAGCAAGTAAGTAAAGTTTTTGAGATTATGAAATGCAGTATTACGCAGAGGGGTAGTTTAGCCCACGTGAAGGGCAAAAGAGGGGAAGTGAGGTCAGATTAGGGTTTATGATCTTAAAGTGTAAGCAGCCTCGCTGCGACGCTAACAGATGCATAACGTCGCGGTTATGTCTCAGATTACCCCAAATATCTCACATTGCCCCCAGATGTCTCAGATTACCCCAAATATCTCAGATTACCCCAAATATCTCAGATAACCCCGTGTGTAAGATTACCCCAAATTTCGCAAATTGTCCCCAAATGTCTCAGATTGCCTCCCGTGTCTCAGATTACCGGTTTACCTTAGCTTAGTGGGTTTTTCTTACCTTTTCCAGCAACAAACGTCCAAGTGATGAGCCTACTCCCTCTCCAAAACGTTGGCGTGAAGAACCAGACATGACCATGTACATCAACAAGTGTTGTCCCCAGTGTTCAAAAAAATTCTGCACCAATTATGAGTTGGATCATCACATGCAGAAAGAACACCCCTACAAGGGAATTCCTATTCAAGTTGGTGGTGGATTAATTAAGAGGCACTTGCCCCTAACAAGAAGCTTGTACACAGGCTTGATCAATGTGTACGAACTGGATGTGAAAAACAATGAGTTTAAAGATGCGTTTCAATTCTTTGAAACCATCTTTTCCGAGCTTGAGTTCATTCTGAACCAAGAACTAGGTGAAAAGAAATGTCTGAAGATCTCGTCAGAACTAAAGTGTCACTTTTATAAGACGTCAGTGGATCCAGTCACCATGCAAATGATAGTTTCTGACCGTACTAATCCTGACCCTGTATTTCGCGGAGTTACCCACTCAGTTTACCGTTCTGATTCAATCAGAACGATCGTCAACTCACTCGCCTGGAAAATGTGTAACTCAGTAGCAGCTTATATCAACAAAAAGTCTGGCTGGATCTTGGATTTTGTGTCTGGCTTTGAGATTAGCGTCGGAAGATTCCAACCAATTGGAGGAACAGGATTCAAGACACGGAACAATTTATTGAAATATGTTAGCCCCGCTACAGTGTTATCGATTGACAATACGGATCCAATGACTGGTCGACCAGACCAAAATTGTTTTTCACTGAGTATTTTGGCATCAAAAATTCTGCCCAGCTTGAAGGCTCAATATAAGGAACATGTGAACCGTTTCCAAGAGAAACGGTCTACATATATTAATGAACTGAACAAACATGGGTTCAACTGGGATGGTTTATCAACACCTATTGACATGTCTCAGTTTTCAACGTCCTCTAAGAACAATCCCGATGTCGATCTGCACGTGTTTGTCTATGAAGAAGAAGATGCTGCTAACAAACTTTAACCTGTTAAGCAAGCCGACTCGCACCGCTAAGGATAAACTACAAATCAAAAAAGAAATCCGCAATTCCATCTATCCACTTTACTCTTCAAACAAGATTCCCCAGTTCCGTGTTAAAGAAAGAATCTTAAAACACACCCATGCCGATACTGAAGTTTCAAATCTTCAGGAAATCGACATTATTTTGATTTTGGAGGAAACTGAACAGGGATGGACAGGCCACTATGCCTTGATACGTAATTTCAACGCTCTAATCTCGCTCACTAAAAACAAGTCATATTGTTGTAAAAATTGCGTGAACTGCTTCACCAGCGAAGACCGATTGAACGAACACCGTCCCAACTGCTTGGCGCTAGGAATGCAGCAAGTGACTATGCCAGAAGACAAGACGTATTCCTTCAACAAATATGGCCGGATGGTAAAAGCTCCTTTCAGGTACTTGATAATTTTTCTACACTCTGCTCTCTTTTCTAAATATCTTTCATCTTTTCAAAGATATTTTGGCGATTTTGAGTCACTGTTAAGAAACAAAAACGCCCGTCTCCCTGAAAGTGAACGTCGACTTCATCTAGCCGAACACACACCATCAGGTTAAGCGTGGATTTGCTTGGATTGGAATAATACAATAGTCTCTTACAAGGTACATCGGGCAAAGCGCGACGATGAAAACGTTGTGGCGAGATTTTTTGAAGACATTTTAAAGGATCAGGAAATACGACAAGAAGAAATTGAAAGCATACAGAAGGAAGCAAAATATAATATGAAAATTAATCCTCAACTAAAGAAACGTCTGACTCATCTAATTGAGAATGACCCTGACAGTCTCGACCCATGCTACTTTTGCAAAAAGAAATTACAAGTAAACCCAAAGGATAAAACCGTTTTTCACCACGATCACTTTTCTCGCCAATATGGCCCATGACAGGTAGATCAAAATAGAATGATTAATCCGTTTATATTACTCATCATACTTTTTATTTTTGTAGTTGCAATATTGATGCCCGTATTAGACGAGTACCTCCTGTTTATTTTCACGGACTTAGGTAATAATATACTTATTAATTTTAAAATATAAAAGTTAAGATCAATTTGTAATGCAGAAATTACGATGCTCACTTCCTGGTATCAAATTTCACCGCGGACATGGATGTAGAAGTTATCCCATGTACCAGTGAGAGGTTTGTAAATATTTTTAAATCAAATTTTTGATTTTGTTGACAAGTAATTTTTTTGTTAGGTTTCTCTCCTTCTCGGTACAGAGGGGAAAACGTAAGGTGAGGTTTGTGGATAGCGCCGCCGTGATGCCAGCCTCAATTGACAAGTTGTCAAAATCCCTTGCTCATGGCAACAACACGGAACATTTCAAGACGACCAAGAAAATGTTTTCGAGTTCCAACGGACGAACCGCCCTCTACCGCGATGGGAATGTTGAACTGTTAATGGGGAAAGGAATTTATCCCTACACTTATATGCAATCCTTGGAGAACTTCAAAGAGGAGAAATTACCAGGAATTGAACATTTCTTCAATGACCTCACCGAGGAGCCCTGTTCCCCTAAGGACTACCAAAACGCCCAAAAGGTTTGGAACAGCTACAAAATCAAAAACTTGGGGGAATGGCATGATCTTTACTTTTTACTGGACGTAAGCATTCTCGCTGATTGTCTCGAGAGGACTCGAGACATTTTGTGGGATTCCTACGGGTTGGACGTGGCGCACTACCTAAGCCTCCCCATGGTGGCCTTCGATGGAGTCTGCAAACTCGGGGACGTTGAACTGGAGTACTTGGGCTTAGACGAGTACCAATGGTTTGAAACTGGAGTTCGCGGGGGGGTCTGTGGAGCCGGGGGAATGAGGATTGCGCAGGCAAACAACCCTTACATGCAAGAATTGCATGATAAAAATAAACCAACGTCTTATATATCTTTTTTAGATATCAACAATTTGTATGGTAAGAACTTTTCTGTTTGCGCCAAAAATTATTTGCTTCTTTTTAAAACAAGATCTCTCCTTAGGATCTGCAATGTGTGAATTCCTACCGTTAAAGGACTACAAGTGGATGACTCAAGCCCAGCTCGATTCTGTATCCCTCGATCCTCACAAGTTTTTCAACTCTGTTGCCGATGACGCTACCACTGGTTACTTTTTCGAAATTGATATAATCGCACCCCCAGATACCCATAATAAGCTAAATGACTACCCCCCTGCTCCAACACATCGTATAATTACTTCAGAAGAACTATCCGAATTCCAACAACATCAAGTAGAGCAATTGGAAATTCCAAACTCAGCCTTTACGACTTCAAAACTAGTGGCGGACTTGAACCCGAAGCTGAATTATGTCTGTCACTTTAGAAACATTAAACGTTTTCTACAATTGGGGCTCAAGATTACAAAGGTTTGTACCTTTCTTTATAGTGCTTTTAATATAAAACTAACATTGATATATAAATAGATTCATCGAGGCATGCAGTTTACCCAGGCTCCGTGGATGAAAAATTTTGTTGACTTCAACACTAGAAAACGTATTGAAGCGGTCACGGAGTACGAGAAGAACTTCTACAAGCTTCTTAATAATGCGGCCTTCGGGAAGGTGGTTACACCCCCTCATAAATTAACCACACCCCCAAAATTTTTACACAGCTACAGACTCCATTACTATGGACTTGATGTCTCAAACTGCAAAACTCAAATAATTGTTTTACTGTATGTAAACTTGCTTTTTAGTCAAGTCCCATGAACTTGAAAGGAAAAGGTCTGGTAACCACAAAATGATGATCCAACACTATACGTATTGTAGCAAATGAACCACTATATATAATGTAACTGAGTACTAAAAGAAAGCAAGAAATGAATATGAAAATGTATGAGTTTCGTTCTACAAACGTTTTCGTCTTTGATGCTTCCTTGCTCCTTGGATAGCTGTATCATGCAAATACAAGATTCAAACTGATTACAAAACAATGGTGTGTATACCAATTTATTTACTCTTGAAAAAATCAAATAATTACATTTTTGTCAATTGCCCGCAGTTACATTTTTCTGGAACGAAAAAAACTGGAACCGTAACTTCACGGATGCATGCATGGCTTTGCGTCCTTCACATCTGTAACGGTCTTGTCATTTGGTTCTTCCTCGCCATCCTTGGGTTTGCATAGCTCCTCCAAAACTCCTTCCCAAATCTTTATGTCTTGATTTGCTTCAGTACGAAACTTTTGCCAAATCTGCCCCGTCAATCCCAAAAACGTAGACCCCCTCTTTCTCGGGTATGTCTGCCCAGTCATCTTCCGCAACTGGTGTCCATCCAGACGTCTCATAGTACTCAGCCATCATCATTATGTCAAACTTGGGCTTGGTTGGCTTTATACGTTTTCGAATTTCACGCAACATCCTCTTCTTGGCACACATTTCGGCTGGTGAGATAATGCCATAATTTTGCAACGGATGTTCGTATAAATTCAACAGCCATGGGTTGAGCAGGATATCAGTTTGGATTTCATAACCCAGCACTTTTCTTTCTTCATCATCTCCATCTTCATCTTTAGCTTGGTTAAAGTCGGGAATTGAAACACTAACCCAGTTATTCATAACATAAAACTTGGGTGTGGCACCCTCTCGCACTTCGTTGAATCCAAGCTTCATCATTTCACCTTTCAATCTTTCGTAGGTGCCTTCCATGTGGAGATCTTCGCGGTCGTATAGGATTTCGCTTAAAAATCGTTCAAAGAATTGGAAAAATGCAATGTATCGACCCTCATCGCCAACCACGAGAGGGAATGCAGTTTTGACAATTTTGTGGATAACATCCCATGAATCGTCAAGTTTGAAATTCACGGACACTCCTTCTTGCTTGATAAACACATAGTAGTCGTCATTGAAGGGGCTTACCCAAATGGCTGGATTCTGACTTCTATACGCAAGCTTCCTTTTTTTGAATCCACGTTCCTCGGCCTCTTCGTAGAGCATTCGGCTCGCAAAGAAAGGGAACTCTTGGTACATCTGCATGAAAAGCGTACTCAGTTGGACTCGTAAAGCAGGATCCTTGTGCATTGCTCCAACGAGTCGTTTAATCACGTAGAAACAGGTTGGCAGATCCAAGTAGATGCACTTTTTCTTTCTTTCAATTACAATTTGGATCTTTTCAAGTAACTCCTTAGAATACACTTGGATGATCCGATCATCTTCAATCTTTATTTTCTTGTCGTCGGTTGCAAGGGTAGAGGTTTCCAGTTCTCGCTTGTCAGCTCGGGTTGCAGAAGATTGGATGGGGTTGGCACTTGGGGTTGCAGCAGACGTCGGAAAAGTGGGGTTGCCCTTCTCTTCTTGGTTTGGGGAAGCAGGGGAATTTGGGGATGGGACAATTCCCGAAATGTTGGATTGTTTTGTAGCCATAATGATTTTCGAAAACTTGGTTGGGTTTACAAACTTGATGATTACGTTGTGAAAGTAGAGTAAAGACTGTACTGACGACTGAAAAATTCACTCGCTTCTTATAGTGGAGGAGACGTTTTTCCACCAATGCTATTGTAATAGTGGTCAACAGCATCGATTGGCTGTGAATACAACATTGGAGGGGTTATGGATCTTTTGTCGTCCGTTTCGTAAAAGGTCGGTAGTGCGATGGAGAACCTTTTCAAGTCTTGAACTTCTCTTTCGTTGTGCTCCTGTATTAGTCGTGTTATTTCAGAACGTAGTGTGAGTGCAGACAAAACGTTTCCTCCATTTTTCATGGAAAACGTTAACAATTGTTCACATAGTCGAGGCACTTCATGAATGTCAAACTCAATGCGGTTCGTCTCCTTGGAAAGATTTATTGTTGTGTTTGTACTTGTTTTCTTAAACCAAGCTTTAAGTTTCATGAAACGTTCTTGCTCTGTTTGGGACTCTTCCTCCAAACTCGACTGAAAAGGAATTCTTCTATTGTATATCCTTGGACTAAGTAGGTAGTCCATTGTCCTGCTTCGTCAAACGATTACTGATTATAATATAGTGTGCGGTTCTACCTTTTTGTATTTTTCTGGAAACGTTTCTAAATACACGATTCCACATTCAATGCATAAAAGCATCCAATTTGGGTTCTCTAAATAGTTATGATAACGTTTAGTAGTTTTCTTACACGAGTCACACTTTCGTCCAACACTTGATAATGCAAACTCAATATCAAAAACTTCTACAGAGTTATTCTCGTTACTTGGAGTATTAACTTGAGAAGCGCAACACAAGGATTTGGCACAAATACAGCAATTGGACTTGAACCTAGCAAATATGCCAGAGATCTGTGACAGTAGACACTAGTCCTCTTATGCACTCCATCACATTTTTTGCATCTCTTCTCGGTAAAATCCTCCTTCCAAAACGTCTCCTCTAAGATCACGAAGAATATATGTGCGGGGGAATGTAGTTTTTATTTCGTTAACTATAAACTTTTCTTTATTGAAATTAGCTGAAGCTCCTTTTTCGAATATTTTCTTCACTTTTGAGATTAAGACAACGTCATTCACTTTGAATTTTTCTTTGCGAGTATCCGTTGCTCCAATTAATTTGTTGTATAACCGAGCAAATATAATTTTCTCGTTCTTCTTGTTAACTTCCTTTGGTGTACACTTTATACTTCTATGAAATGATGAGTTGTAGTTGTTTTCAAGGTCTGGTAGACGATCAACAAATTTAGTTGTTTTATGGTTTGTCATAAATCTATGAATTTTTTCCAAAATTGTGCGATTGAACCTCTCAACCACACAAGATTTGAGTTCTGACTGAACTGAAAATAATTTTATCCCAAGTCTTTCAAGGAATTCTTTACAATGAACGTTATAAAACTCACGCCCTAAATCAACTTGTATGCGAAGAGGCAGTCCTTTGCTTCTTTTAAAAATCTTTTCAATACCTTTCATTACAACTATTCCACTCTTACTTCTGAGCGGTTCAATATATCCTCGCTTGGAAAAAATATCTATTGCCGTGAGCAAAAAATAAGTGTTGTAATTCGTCTTTGAATATTTAGAAACGTCCATCAGGTCCATTCCCCATTCATCGTTGATACGCTTAACGTACACCACTCGTCTCGGAAAAATTTTTCTACGTGACCGATGTAACGTATAAGCAGGAATAGTTTTCAAAACGTTCTCGATTTCCTGACGAGATTCTTTTCGTTGTCCAGACTTTATGAAACCTCCTAGTCCGCTAAAGGAGCCTGGCTTCTTGACGTTTATGGTTCATCTATTAAAACCGCAGCATTTTTCTATTCAATTTTGCTGAAACGAGTTGGCCGATCGAGCCTATGCTTATAAGCATTAGAAATTTGATTGTGCACCATTCTTTCAATTCTCCATGGATTTTCAAAATTAAACATGTTTTCAAAATTAAACATTGGACATATGGCTACAATATATAATTTCAAATTTTTAAAATTTGACCTAGTTGACCTAAAATTAAGGTCACAAGGTCAAAAAATGACAATATCTGCAAGGTCGTTAAAAATGCGTCTTCGCTAATTATATTCGAAATTTTTAAGTCAGACAACTCAGTGGAGTGGTAAAATATTACCCGCAGGTTATTCAAAAACTTGTGAGTGTGGCAGGGGGTGTGGAAAAATTAAATTAGGCTTAAATTACTACGTTTTAACACCTGGGAGAGTTAGAAATATCAGTATCCAATCAGGGTCACAACCCTCGCCAATGGTTACACTACCACATTAAAATCTTCAATCCCCACCCACAGGGGGTGTGCCCATCAGCGTTTTTGTGGTTAATCATCTTGTGTACATTGTGCGACATAAATAATTTATTGTAACGGAATGGGAATGGTCACCTTATATCACAAAAAACACCCCTAGGTTAAAATTTTGAATCCCCACCCACAGGGGGTGTGGCTTTCAGCGCTTTTGCCATCTTTTCGAAAAGCACGTCGTGTGACGTTTCGTTTTGACCAGAAACATAAGGGCAACTTAAAAATAGTATCCAAGTTACCAAAACCACACCCCCAGGTGGGTGTGGCCTTCAGCGCTTTCGCCATCTTTTCGAAAAGCATGTCGTGTGACGTATCGTTTTGACCAGAAACATAAGGGCAACCTAAAAATAGCATCGAAGTTACCAAACCACACCCCCAGGTGGGTGTGGCCTTCAGCGCTTCCGCCATCTTTTCGAGAAAGCATGTCGTACGGCATATTGTTTTGACCAGAAACATAAGGCAACTTAAAAATAGGGTCGAAGTCACCAAAGCCACGCCCCCAACTGGGTGTGGCTTTCCACGCCCCCAACTGGGTGTGGCTTTTGGCAGCAACTAATAAAATGGGTCATGCGATACGAATAATTTATCGGAATGGAATGGGGACCTCGATGGTTACCTCTTATCGCATTCAAACCACACCCCCTAGTGGGTGTAGTTTGTACATATGCAATTACTCAAAAAATCTTTAAAATCTAAGATAATCATTAAAAGCAGAGTATATAAAACATCATAGTTTTATAAAATTTCAAGTAATCCAAGGAATTGGGTACAAATGTGTACAGGTTTTAGACATGCCATAATTTAAAAAATTACAAATTGAACAACCTTTCACGATCTTACAATTAAAACAATTTGGTTGAATAGTTATTGTAAAAATTCGTGTCAACTGGAAAATTAATATTAATTTCCCAACGTTTTGATAAATATCGGTAAACAATAATCGTCTCCTTATAATATATTTATATCCGCTAATAATGATATTGCCATTTAGAAATTCAACTTAAATCATATGTATGTTTAGAACAGGCAGGGATTAATCTCGCCGA